GCTACTATGGAGCAGAGCCAGACTGAACTTCCCGACCTCAAACCTTGTGGGTGGGACCAAGTTCGGAATGGCACCCAGGCTACTCATTATGTGCCACATCAACGACTTTGTCAATGTCGGCTGGAAGCTGGAAGAAGCTCTGCACATCATCTTAACTCTAACTGAGACCAATGGGTCATTATTTATACCTAAAACTAATAAGTTTGCAATGATTTAATGAATTTAGCTTTAATCAGGAAAAAAATAAGATCTTGCAATCACTGAGAGATCACAAGATCGAGATCGTGATTGGGCCATTTTTGCCCAAATATAGTAACACCTCACTCCTGACTTCTTCCGGCAGTGACGTCACGGTGCGGTAAGCCGAACGCCATTCTCCCTGCTTAATAAGCAAAATCAATGGGAACTTCTAGACACATCTGCAAACAACAACAATTATTTAAGATTTCCAGAGGACTTCACCATTGAGATTCGTGGAGCTATAGTTAAACTGACAATGCGCACGTGCATAGCAGTTGGATGTTGCAATACATCGGGTAAAAGTGGAAAAAAAAAATTGTTATATCACCTTTCCGATTCATGATTCTCTACTGACGGGTTCGTCATTGGATTGCCAACTTGAAGGGGGAGGATTTACCATCGAACTTCTGGCCAGAGAAAAAACATGTCATTAATCTGTTGCTTCGCATAGTGCACTGGTCATCACCATTATGGAAAATAGCGTGTTGTAACAAAAACCAGTACAGCATTGGGACTTGATCATCAGCCAATACCGCACTGTGATGTCACAAACCGGTAGATGCAGTAGTGCTCTTTGACAAACATGGATGTCTCCGTTAAAGACATTTCAAATGAAATTACTCTTAATTGAAAACACTTATCATTTATTGAAGAGTATATAATAATTTCCTACTTAAAGTACTTTCAGAAGTTTGTATCCTGAATATGACCAGACCATTTACTTTTCCAGGGCTTTAATACTTTTATTTGCTGACATTTTCTCACGCAAAAATACTGGGACCATACAGTCCCGGTAGTTTTTTATTTTTGTGGAATAGTGTAACCCCTGTTATTATTTCTGTTGAAAAATATGTTATTTTTGTTACATTGCTTGAAAAGCATTATTTTTTAGCTTCATACCTATTTTATAGCAAATTAAAGGCGGCCAATGTGCAAAATTTTCTAAACATCTAGTTATAAAACATCTTATTTTCTTTTATCATAAACAAAAAGCATCATTACATCTACATTATCATAGTGCAACTGATTCATAAAACCATAAACACCAAAATAATTTTCAATGATTTCAGATCTTTGGACCTTCAAATTAATTATGTAATTTAATTCATTAATAACAAACATCTTATATTCCATAACTGAACCTAGAAACTAGATGTATTTAAAATTCCAATAAGAAAGTTTTCCAAATTCTTCAACACTAGATCATAAAAACTGACTGCAAAGGTTACTTTGGTTAGTAACTAGTCACTTTCAGCGAGCAGTAAATTAATTACTAACACAGTGACTTTTTTGGATAAGTAATTAGTCAGTGATTAGTAAGTAGTAACCATCAGAGACGGCAGAAGTACTCACTTTCCGTACTTAAAAGTAAGTAAAAATACAGATACTTGTGTTAAAAAAATACTCTGGTAAAAGTGGAAGTACTGATTAAACTTCTTTACTCAAGTAAAAGTAACAAAGTACAGGCTTTAAAATTTACTTAAAGTATAAAAGTAAAAGTAGAAACCACTTTTTTCATGCTGTTGCCTACATTTTAAATGGATGTCTGCCAATAGGACTAGATCTCCGTTGTGTTCATTTTCAATCATCTCGTCGTCTATGGGAGAATTATCTTGCCATAATGCAAGAGCGCATAATTTCAATTTGAGAAAAGAATTTCATCTTCTTGCA